GTTTGCGGGCAAGCGGTTCCTTCTTTCCCCTCCCCCTCCCCCGTCAATCCTTTTTTTTTTTGCTCTCGTCCCGACGTTCTTGACGAACTCGCGCGAAAGCGCTTGCTACGCAGGCTAGTCAACTTTCAACAGGACAGATCCACTCTGGGACCAGCTAGCACAACATCTAAGTTTTTGTCTATTGTATCAATAGTTAAAGAAAAAGACAGACATGTATGAACAGGCTCCAAGTACCTGTTAAAAGAAAGTTGACTGTACTGTATGTGCTACTCAACATGAATTAAACGTGCAATGTACAATTACTCAGATGTGTATACCTATTATACACATCTGAATACACTGTACATAAAAAAACACCAGTGAAATTCAATCCATGCATGTACACGTATACACTATCTACTGCATGGTTCGATTATAAAATGTTTTCATCTGCTAAAGAAAAAAAAGGATTTAAAAATTACCACTTGGAATGAACCATCCTTTACTTCTTTTGGAGAATACTTTTTTGGTCGTTCTACTGAAGTACATGTACCGCTAATGAGGCAGAGTGTTGTCATGTATCAAAAAAGGAATATCCGAAAAAAAGTCTTGAATCAAGATTAGATCATGGGGCCAGATCATCATCTTCTTTCTATTTGTGAAACTGAATCATCAGTATAAGAACTAAATTCTTCTGATAAATCTTTAACACTCTGCAAGTTATGCAATGTACTCAATTCTTGTTGAAAATGATTTGGATGACTTAAGTGCAACTTACTTGATTAAAAATACAGTGTTCAGGCTGTTTTGTGTATTACACACAGCACAAAATGTAAACAAGATTTTTCCTGACTTTCATGATAAAGTTAAAGCTATAAGTCAAGATGCAAGAGCTGGCTTGGGTTGAAAAGTGCATACTATATTTCTAAAGTACAGAAATACAGTTACAAATAATGTTTCGATAAAGAGGCATCTTCAAAGGTCAATAATGCTATTTTATTGAAAAAAGGTAACCAAAATTCAGCAACAACAGTGAGTACTGTACATTTTGAACATTATTAATAGTTTATGGTAGTACCCTGAATTTTCAATCCATTTTAACATGTAGAAATACCGTCATGTACTTGTTGTAAACGTACACTTAGGAGGCTAGCAAGACACTTGAAGGTTTAAGTAAATCCATTTTACAGGCTAAAATGTGTAAATTCTTAGCTGCATTTGTTGTTTCCCATGGCACTGCTTGAACCTTGGTAGTAAATCTCCCTTCTACTTGAAAACTGAACCTGTCAAAGAATGATTAATATCACAATTAGCAACTGAAAATTTGCTCTAAATTGGAGGTTCTGCAAATAAGACATAGGTTCACTATTTCAGTAAGACTGAGTAGAGTCCACTTCAGTCTGGAATCATATACATGTATAAGTGTTTAACAAAATCAGACAAATGTGTAGCCGGAGTCTAATTAATATTTGTTTAATCATGAGTACAGCTTTACAACATTGTATAATTACTGACTGAATTAGAGGACATGAAGTTCTGTTAGACTAATGATTAATAATAAAAAATTATTAATCATAACTTTTGCAAAAGAAAAAAAAAGACAAGGGAAAAGGTCAANCTTTACAACATTGTATAATTACTGACTGAATTAGAGGACATGAAGTTCTGTTAGACTAATGATTAATAATAAAAAATTATTAATCATAACTTTTGCAAAAGAAAAAAAAAGACAAGGGAAAAGGTCAACACATGCATGGACAGTTGTGAGCCAGTGCTTTTGTATAACTTGTGACTACATAAACTCATTGCTTGTTGATATATAATAATAAAAATAATAATCAAGAAAATGCATATTGATAATATCCATGATTGTGGTTATTGCTGTACAAAACAGTCAAGTAAATAAAAAAATTGGAGACTTAAATTTTGGTATCAATAATACATTGCAACGGACTAATGCCATGTTGAAAATACTGAATGTTGTGATCAATGTCTCTTTTAGTAATGGCACGTATAAACTTCATTACCATGAGCCAAAACATTTTATAAGCCATTCTCAAATGAAGCTGTATATTTATCAACCAGAACAGAAATAAATCATAGGAACTGTACAGTGTGTAAAATGGACATGCAAGTGCAGTTTTTGCGATGCAAGCATAAGCATAAGATATTATACGTTGGTGAGGATGGCCTTAACAGAAGCACAAGAATAAAACGTAAGCTTACGTTTCTTCAGGTTTCTTGTGATCACAAGAAAACTAAAACCGTACCTTGCATTTGTGGAGAATTGTTTTTAGCTTTGCCGCTGTCAGGTTCCAGTTTGGTAATCAGGATTTCCGTACGGCCGGGGTACGGCCCCAATCAAACAGCCATTTCATACTACTTCACACAAATAGTTGATGTGAAGGGAATCGAAACATAAGACTTAAGCTTACATGTAAGCTTAAATGCGTAAAATATGATCTGAATATGGCTGTACGGAAATATTACACGTACAGTAACTGGTCCATTTTTCGCTTTGATGTAGCTGACCATCTTTTTCCCTGTAAAACTACTACAGCACTGTAAATTCCCCAAAAACTCGCGTTGAAGTTGAAATGGTTTTTTACGCTCACGCTGTAAAAATGGTCAGCAGTGATGTTCGAATTACAGGCGCGGTCGCAAGGCAAACCGGTTTGAGGGCGGTTCAAATTTGAAACTAACGGCTTGGCTAGTGTTGTTGGGTTTTGTTAGCTCTGACTGTAATTTTAGGAAGAATCTTCGGATTCAAAACATGTTTTAACCTTTAGCGCAAAAGTTTAAGAAACGTCACTTGTTGCGCGACTGTGAGGAAGCATAATTAATCGCTTCTTCTTTTTTGTGTAACATGTGACGAAACTTCGCACCGCTGATATCAGACCATTGGCTGGATTCGGGAAACGATTTTCGGTGAGTTTTGGTTTTTAATCATTCTTAAGTAGTGCTTGTTTATAGTAGATTACTTGCTACTAAAGCGAAATAATCATAGTTTCGTTGTTGTGTGCTGGTGCAGAGTCAGACAGAGCCGCGATTACAGTTGATCATGATGTAAGAAATATAAGCTTTGCGGAACACAATGTGACAGAAGCTGTGCATGGTCTCTGTTATGTTTATTTTTAGCCATTCACTTCTACCGAAATGATGTTTGATGGGCATGACGATAGATAGATAGATAGATAGATAGATAGATAGATAGATAGATAGTTTATTATAATAAATACAATGTACATAGGCAGCCAGAGGCTGAATTGCGTATTTACAAATAAAAACCAAGCTAAAAAATATAATAATTTACAATACATCAATATTTAAAATATTAAAAATTCATGCATATAATATATAAAAGTATTCAAGCCGAGTCATTTAAGAAACGGTCCAGATAAGAACGATAGCAACAACGGCAACGAACATGTTGGAATGCAAAAAAGATCCTAACTTTTCTATTGTCTGTACTTACTTCTGATTGGCTTAAACAGCAAAAATTAACAAAACTTCATAAAGCAGTACATATATTCATCCTTACTTTCCAACCATCTTCCATATAACAAAATCTGGTCTCAGTTTGAATAACAAAGAAATCCTATGTGGGGAACATGTAAAATTGTAAACTTTTCTCGGCTATTGTTTTCAACTCTTGTGATTGGTCAAAATCTTTTAACACAAAAAAACACCCTTTAAAAGTGGAGTGTAAATGCATTTTATTGCGTAAACGGCCTTCATGTAGGTTTATGCATTCTCTGTGTAAGAATGAGAACTTTCCTATGTGGGGAAAGCAGCGTTGCCGCATAACAAAAGAAATTGCTATCCACTTTACCCGGATCATTACTTAATTGTACTTTAGGCACGATGACAAGATAAAAGTGTTCTTAAAACGGTCCGTCTTCCACTTTGGAAGTGCAAAGTGTCGGTGATTTCTTAGTAAGTAATATTATGGAGCCTTATTGGCTTCAGTTAATAGCTTGTTAAGTTTGTTATCGTTGTTGCCTTGGGCAGCGTTAAAAACCTTGTCACTATGAAATAATGGTTGGAATACCAGCTTCATAAAGTGCCTCGTCATAAGACAGACTGGGGCAAATGATTGATCATGACCTTTTTTGGACCCGCTCCAGCTCACACTGTAAATACTTGGGCAGAGCATAAAAAAAAAACAGGCGCTGCATAAACTAGGATTGATCTTATACATGTGGCATAAAAGAGGACTAAGTCAAAAAAAAAAGCGTTACGGGCTTTGCGAGCGATAAACCGATGGGTTCGTACAGTGAACGAACAACTACAGAGCACAAGTTCGAGTTATCATCCACGATTGTCAGTCGATTTTTAACTCAACAAAATTCCGGTCAGTTCAACCTGTCTAAACTAAGGGGCCGACCATTTGACTTTTGAGGGGAGAGAGGGGAATGGGTGATTTCGGAAAAAATAATCCCTGCAGACTGATTTCGAGTGAGAAAAAATTTTTGCAAACAAATAACTGGGGGAAAAAATTTACTCCACTGAAAAAAAACATCTTTCATGGCTTATAATCCTGACAAAAAATCTTACACCGTTGTATGTCGGGGAAAAGAATTCTATCACCAGAGGTCTGAAGGAACAAAAATCTTACCCAAACCAAATCGCCCATATCCCCCATCGAAAGTGAAATGATCGGCCCCTAAAAGCGCTTTCTTTAGTTTTGATATATCATGGGGCTTTGTTAGAGTAATTATTTGCCATGACAGCCTGTCAACCCTTGTCCAATCAAAGTTAGTTTAACCTAATCAATGCACTTGCTTACGTTACTCGCTCGCACGTTCACGGCTTGTTTTCCTTTTTTTCTCAACATTTTCAAGTTCTGAATAAAAACAAATCCCTTTTCTGACTTACTGGAATAATTTGGAAGGATATGATGCCCGCGGCAGACAGATTGTCCTCAAAATTTCACATTTGCCCTCGAGACTTCGCTGAGCTCTCAGCCGCGGTCATTGTCATCCGGTATACCCAGCTGGTCAAGTTTTTAACCAATTTTGTTATGATCGTAACATTTTCATCTGCCTCTGGACTTTACTAATCATTTTCCACGAACACTCTTGAACTTTTCTACCTTGCAGCTCGTGAAGTAACCTTTCAAGCTCTTTAGTTTGATCAGTTATACCACTCTTACTCACTTTAAGTTCTGCCAACTGCATTTGAAGCTGATTGATAGTGTTAGAAACCTCAATATAGAGAGGTACATTCTTGACATCTTTAGCACATGGACGCACTACAAAACGCAAACGCGAAAGTTGATCATTTGGCGTTTCACTGACGGTTTTTGCTAAAGTACGAATCCCATCTTCGATTCTTTGTACTTCTTCCAAAGCGTTCTGATACCCATCTGCGTAAAACTCCTTTGGTTTCCATTCTCCCGTTTTGGACGAATAATGATCAATTCGGACAAACCCTTTCTGGCTTGAACTTTGACAAATGCTCTCCATCTTTGAGGAGATCGTCATAAACAAAACTTCTGCTTTGATTTCCACTTTTTCCTCACTTTTGCTATTCTCGCTGAAAAAAAAATTCCCGTATTATTTAATATTCAAACTCAAATGCTTCACAATAATACCCTGATACGGCTATTTAAAAAAAAAATAATAGTAATAATGGTAAGAAGTGTTGTACAGAAAAACCGGGCGTCGTCGTAGAATCCTGAGTGCTAGACAAGCGCCCTTGAAGAGGTCGCTTGGTTAACAAGGGTTTAATTACAACGAATGCTGGTCGAGTTATGTATCAAAACCAACCGTACTTCGACAGTGCTTGAATGTAAGAACTGTCAGGATATAAGATATTAAATGCCGTTTTTTGCACGGACTCGGTTATATCTGACAGATAGTCTCCCACAACTGCACGCATTCGGGTGTAACACTACTTCTAAAAACTTTCAATTTCTGTTGTTCTTACACACCTCTCTCTCATCTGTGAGCGTAAATTTTCTGCATGCTTTGGCGTTTATATAGTCAACGTACTAAGCAAAAAGGCTCAGGAGTTCCTCCCTTTCCAGTTCTCGTTAATAATTACTCCAAGAAATTTTGGACATGACGAAATTCTCTATGTTGAAATTAAACTGTCTGAGACGGGTGTTACGAAAACTACCCTTGAAAATTAAGACCTAAGACCTAAGACCCGTCTTAGTTTTCGAGATTACGAAAACTAAGACCCCCTAAAATCGAATCCGTCGAAATATAAAGTCAAATTGTAACCGAAATAGGTCTGATCTGTCAAATTATATCATGTTCGATCCTTTCCACCGAGTTTTAGGTCAAATTTAACTGTAAATTTAGGNCTAAGACCTAAGACCCGTCTTAGTTTTCGAGATTACGAAAACTAAGACCCCCTAAAATCGAATCCGTCGAAATATAAAGTCAAATTGTAACCGAAATAGGTCTGATCTGTCAAATTATATCATGTTCGATCCTTTCCACCGAGTTTTAGGTCAAATTTAACTGTAAATTTAGGGGTCTTAGTTTTCGTAATTTCGAAAACTAAGACCCCTCTTAGTTTTCGTAATTACGAAAACTAAGACTCCCACCTAAACAATCTCTAAAATTTCTACAAAGTCGAATTACGACCGTTTGAAGACCATAATCCGTAAGACAAACAAAAATTACTATCATACGCGTGCTAGACGATCCGCTTCTTCTAACAATTTACAGACATACATTATCAATATTGTGGCTTTAAGAAGAGGATGAAAGCTATAGACTACCTACGTATAATTGTACACTGAAAATATGCCTTACCTCTATAATTTTGGTTGTTTATCCTTAAAGTTATAAAATTGGTTTTCCACTGGAGATGGATTTTTGTCTTCGTTGCGGGCTGACATGTCGCTGCGACCTGAATGCCTGATCGCTAAGAGGTCAACGGCGTTATCGGTTAAACATCACACAAAAATACGGATTTTGTTTTTCCTTTTCTGGTCAGGTCATAGATAGAAAAGTGCTTTTATAAAAAGGGCGAAAAAAGGAGAATATGCTACATTGCGTTTTACTCATCCTCGTTCCCAGGGTTCTCTCCCCGCCCTACAGAGCGAGAGAGAGAGAGAGACCCTGGAAAACACTGGTCACGTGTCTCCAGAACAAAATTATTTCTGAGGGAGGAGTCCTTTGTCTCACATTCTTTTGTCTGGTTTATTTTATTCGCTACATTCACGCAGTGATCGCAACAGCAAGATAGATTTGCTAACCCTACCACAACTATAACTGAAACTAAAGGAAATTTCTGCCTAAACAAAACTATCAGATAAACAAGTAAGACGGGTCTTAGGTCTTAGTTTCGAGGGTCTTAGTTTTCGTAACACCCTGTCTGAGACCTTTGTTTTGAATTTTCAAAATTACATGAGCCTTTCACCCCAAATCGTACAAGAAGGTCCTGCAATAATTTATTTATAAGAAAAACGTTAAAAAAAGTTGCAAAACTCTAAAGAAGACCAGTTTGCTTTCATATCGCATATATACTTGCGACAAGTATGTTATTGTACTATAGTATTACTTAGAATCTCACCTTTCATACTCCATTGTAACGATTAAAATTTCCTCCATACCAAGCTCTATTCCCTCAACTTTAAAATCCATTCCCCTACCAGAATACAACTTCCCTTCTCTAGCAGCAAGAAGGAAGCCTTTCCTCGCATAAATTGAACAACACAGCGAAATTACTTCTCGTTTGCTCGCAGATTCTTTCTTGTCATTATATTTTGCTGAGACTGAGGCGAGACCCATTAAAATTGAGACTTTGCCTTTAACTTCCAAACTTTTCAAATAGTCTTTGACTTGAGATATACGGAGACATTTCGATGAGAAGATACACAATGGAAACCTTAAAAATTCCACAAATTTTGAGTCATCGCACTGCAATTCAATGTCGTTTGAAGCCCTCATTTCAGTCGGTTGGATGATTTATTCAGAAATGATGCAATACTTGATGTATAATTGGTGCAGTAATGTCTACACAGTCATCAGAGCGCGAATACCGCAGAAATCTTACGTATGCATTCAATATTTTAGGACGATGGGCAATTCTAAAAAATGATCAGTTTTCCACTGGGTTCAGCATCGCATACTATAAAAGGACCAACTACAAGACACTCTCTGGCGTGAATTGTCTTCGAGACGCGACGGATGTAGCTAGGCTCCGCCCACTCACTACTCACGCGATATTTCTCTTCTGCCTGATCCATCAGTTTTTGACTCATACTTTTAGGGTCTCCACAAATTTTCAGTTTGCGTTAAGTTGGAAAATTTCTACGCGTAAATTGAACAGTAAAATTACTATGAGCTGTTCAATTTTAACGTCCAGCTCGTGAAGGCATCTTGGGCGCTATATCCGACATCATGTAAGTCTTAACCTCTTTGTAGACTTTGTACCTTTTTCAGAATAATCAAGGCCTCTGTTTTCATCTGAACACACTTCGCGCCAATATTATCACCTTTAAAGTATTTGAAATGCGTTCGAATGAAATGCAGTAATAACAAAATGGAGCAAAAAAGACTGAGCTGTGCTAAATCGCTTTGTTGAATTACAAGTCGCGTGATTCTGCATAAATTCCATTTTGTGTATTTCCTTCGTCATTTACCTATCAAGTGTCGTAATCAAATCCTCAAATCAACATGATTCTATTTACCCACAACTTTGCCAATCACGATCATTAAAAACACAGGAAGTACGTATCGCATAACACAAAGCTAACATTGTAAAAAGTAGTTTTCCGCGCCAGTTTTTAGTTCTTTCCTATAAGGGTCGCGGTTGGTTTTCTCAATCAGTAATCGCCGTGTAGAGGTTTGTTATCGATTTTTTATCTTCTTAGTGTTTAAGGCCTTTCAAACAAACTGAAGATCAATTTTTGTGAGTAGTATGTCTCTTGGTCGCACTCAATTCTCCGTCCGAAACAGTGAATTATCTCAAGAATAGTTCATTTGAGAGAGCCGCACTCAGCTACTTATAAACCCCAGCCAATTCATTTCGATTTCATCCAAAGCGATAGTCCTCTCGCTCACATCGGTATTTTCTCTTCGAATTTTGATTTCTTCTTTACGATTTTATTATTTACTTCAAGTGAAACTGAGGAATTTGCTAACAAGTCGGACTCCCCACGAAGGAAGTTGTGAAGGTTTTGGCGATGACGTCGCGTCTTGACCTTGCCGTTTAATCAGATCTCAATTTCTTCTTCTGAACACACAGCACCAACTGTCTTTAAACAGATCTAGATGTAATAGCATGAACTCTAGATGGATGTACTCTAAATTGGTTATTGCTTGTAAATTAAATCGTGTGTGGTTCTGGGAAGTCCTTATAGTCAACACAATTCACCTCTACGGGGAATGCCGAATCTTTTTCAATCATAATCAATTGTTTCTTTTATAGCAGAATCACGTTACTTGACTCCTAGGAAGGCCCCGCTCTGAGTTTCGTTTTCTCTGACGACTTCCTCCAAGAGTTTAAAGGTTTGTTTTCCATTTTTCTATTTTATTTTTAGAGTGCCGGAGTTGTTTTTAAGCTGTGTATTCGTGCGATCTCTTGCAAGAGAACTACAAGAGGATTGGTTTTAAACAGGAAGCTGCAACGCGCGTATTGTTGTTCCACCTGACACTAAGAGAATAAATCTCCCGATTTTCAAATTGTGGTCATTTCACATGATTTTTAATTCAACGATAAAAAGTTATTCATCTTATCTCAACTCCGCGTTCCACACCTGACACACCTTAGAGACGCGCGTACCTCGTACAGACATTACAACTTCCTATAAACAGGCTTCGTAAATTTGAACAGCTGAAACCGCGGTGTTCCTCTCTTCGTTTTAGTTTTATTCTGTAATCATCTGCACTTGGAAAGAGGTTTGTAATTTTACATTACACATTCTTACTAGGTTTTTAATCACAGAAGATAATTTAACCAGACCAGGGCTTCTCTAAAGTCATGTCAGACTGCCACTGATTTCGACGTCATATGATCTCGTTATACACCCTATGCAGAACGAAAAGAGACTGGGAGCGATCAACTTGAAAACGAGGCTAGTTGGGCCTTGTTTACTCGTGTTAGAAATATGGCCGCTCATGGCTCTGTAAGTAGCCGTCTTTCTCAGAGTCTTACGGAGGAAGATATCCCCGGAGCATCGCTTCAGGGAAGAAATCCGACTGCTCTTAAAACAGATGAACTTCGCTTTTGGTTAAAATGTCGTGGCGATCCAGCAAAGGGGTTAAAAACAAAGGCACAATTGGCGAAAAGGTAAGTACAGTATTTGTCAGTCGTTCGTGATACTTTTTAGAATTAAAAGAGACTTTGATATTGTAAATGGAGATCAAAAGATTTAGGAGTTATTTTTCTCGATGAAATGTTTCAAAAATGTAATGATTAATAGTTTTTCTACTTTTCATTTTGAAGAGTTCTGGAATATGTTGCGTCTGGTCGTGATAAAGATGTTGTGGATCCCGATAAAAATCTGATATACACGCGTCGAAAGGCGAGACAAGAACAACTCGCTCAAAGTGATGCGATGCCTGAGGAAAGTACTGTTAAATTTCCATCAGCCGGATGGTCTACAAGTTTGCAACGAATGCCATTATTCACAAGGGCAGAGATGGATTTACATATTTCTAAATCTGGAAAAAACTTTGACAGAAATAAACAGAACCATGCTGTTCCAACAAGCATGAAAAAGGCAAAAACATTTCTTGATGATGAATACCTGAAAGACTTAACTTGCGCAAGTGATGACCAATATTTCTATTTCAAATGCTTGTGTTACCATAGCTTTAAAAAAAATGAGCCACCCCACAAATTACAAGTTGCACTTTGTTTAGTGAGTGGAGTTGTTAAATATGCTTCGTGTACATGTGTAGCAGGATCTGTTGGTTTTTGCAATCATGTGCTTGCTGTTATGATGAAACTCTGTAAGTTCAGCTTGTATTGTTGTCAAGATATTAAGGACTTGGAAAATGAATCTGATATGACACAAGTTAAGGCATGCACTTCAAGTTTACAACTATGGCACAGGCCTGTAAGAGGAGATAAAATCAAGCCCCAACCTGTCATGGAACTTGAGGTCAAAAAGTCGAATATAGACACAGAGTATAACCCTGATAGTGGAGTAAGGTGCTTGTTGTATGAAGCTAGGAAAAATTTGGGTACACAAGCATCTGATGAAGCTTTGTTAAAAAACAAGCTTCAAGAGATCAACCCTAA